AGTACATTTAGGAAAATCTAAACTCTTAAAATTAGTATAAAAAGATAAATAAAAATCAGTGTGAAATTAAAACCGAAGAGTCGATTAGCCTTGGGAAGGCAATAATCACTCTTGGAGTAAGCGGATTGCGATCCGCTAACTCATACTTGGTTCTTGTTAAGAACGAAAGGTCGGTGACCTAAAGTACGCTTCCTCAAGCGTTTTGCTGCACTCGTAGCATAAAGAGTAACTCGCTAATTTATTAATCAAACTTCGCGATTTGTATTTCTCCCACTAAAAGTAGAACCTGCACCTAGAAAATGTTTGCCCTCTTACTTAGTTGCGTTCGATCCGCTTGATAGCCTTACCGCTCTCATGGTGTGTAGAACATCACTTTCGACGATGTACGCACATCAATTTGTTGAGATGGAGGGTATTAGCAACGAATCCAGACATCTATATCTCAAAGGAGTGCAGCGAGTCGTACACTTCACCTTGCTTGAGGAGAGCACAATCAGTACTCTCACAGATGGGTAAAGTTATCCAGCTGGTCGTTCTTAGACGTGCATCACCCACCTTTGAGTGCGGAACTTACGAGTCAATCAATTTTGAGAGCCTGATAAGCAGATCTTTCATTCAGAGGCCAAGTAAGTATATCACATGCGCAGCTGTCAGTGAAGCTTTCGTTGTGGCCATTGCTGTTCTCTTTAACGAAGAACTGAGTGCCTGGACTATTCGAGGGTCAATCTCCTTCATTTGTCGTCCGTCTGTTGTTGCCCAGTGCTGCAACCACTGCAGTGCTAACCAAATACCGGGCGAGTTGTCGTCTTCATTATCGTCTAAAAGCGACAGAAAAGCTGTGCATAACGCATTACGCACCATGATCGACAGATTTTCCATGCAAGGAGTTTCAATTATCGTCAGCGTCTGCCGGAGCAACTTCAAGTCATCTTCGATAATACACAGACGGAGCGCAAGCTCGTATTCGCCGCACTGCGCAGCTTTTAGAGCGGTTTCAGCCCGTGTGAGGTTACTAATGATGAGTGAGCGTTTACTATCCATTTTCAAAGCGGTGTCTTCATATTTATCGTTGCTGTGCTTAAAAGATTCAACTTGATTTCGGAACATTTGACGCTTCATCACTGGTATTTTTACCTGATGCTGGACACACTGTGATCGGACTAGTGCTCTCTGCTTAGCTTTAAAGTCTTTCAAGGTCGCGACGACTCGTTTTGCCCCTCTTTGTGGCAAAACTGATGACACTGGTTCAGTTAATCTTTCCTCAGCTGACAAACTTGGTATGATTTTACCAGAACTTCCATCCTGCGATGGACAGCCTGAATCTCCGCTACTTCGTTCATGTTGCGCTGGCGATGTCTCATCTTCTTCATATTGGGGCACTTCAGCATAGTCCATGATTGGTTCCGAGATCTTTTTTTCGTCTTGGCTAGGCACTGAATGCTCAAATTCCGAATACGTTGCTGATACATTACTTGGTCTTGCGTCTTGAAAAATATTATCCTCTGGGCGATTACGGGCAGACTTTAAATCTTGAGTGAGATCAGATTCACTACGATCGTCTCCATCAATTTCATATTCATGTGATGGCGATGCTTCATCCCCTTCTTCCTGATTACCAAAACTTAACTCTTCTGTCGACTCGGTAGGCAGGAGCGTCAAATTGGTCTTCACCTCATTCTCCGTGACGGCATGCAAGTCACTTGCGCTGATAGCTGCAGATTTTGGCCAGCGTTTGTTTGTAAAGACGTAACTTTGCGGCTTAGGCGAAATGAAGTCATAGGAATTACTAGTTATCAAATGAGATTCATTAATCGCTCGTGGGCATAACTTCTCTAGGCATGCAAATGCCATGGTTGCCGTAATCGCAGCTTCGCGGACGAGGGAAACTGTATCGTGACGTCCGGTGAGCAAAAGAGTTCGAAGTCGCTCCTGATATTGCATCAAAGGTCAACTGGGGATAAATGTCGTTTGTATTAAAACAACTCACCAACAGCTCTTGAAAGGTTGCTTTCGCAACCTTCACGGTACAGCACCAAGCAGACTCTTGCAGAACGAACACATCGAGTAGAAGTGTCAACAGTGTGATGCCTCGTTTTCGTAACACCCAATTATCACGCGGACCATACAAAATAGCATCTTCGATTGCTTCGTAAATTGACCTTATGTGTGGTGCGAATTCGTCTCCAAGCTGTGGAAACGATCCATTTTTATAAGCATCGCGGCCAAGCTGACAAGCTGAATGGAGCAAAAGGAATAAAGGTGAAAAAGTTGCAAAGTTTTTACTACCATCCATCTTCGCAACGGTATCTGCCAGAAAAGATTTCAGGAATGGACGAATTCGTGTGGCATGAGCGCGAATGGAAACTGGCCCTAGCACTGATACTCCATCGAAATCGACAGGGTACAGTAGGCCGCACAAACATTTAGTTGCTGCCTCGCCCACGCCATGGCTTTCCTTAGCAAGTACTGCAGCGATTGCTTGAAAAGCTTGCTGGGAACTTCTCGCATCACTTTGCTCGAGGGATGGCACGGTACTAGAAAAAAAAGTTGCGGGGTGTGGTACGATGTACATGACAATAGCTGACACCAATATCACGCAAGCATCCGTTGTCTTGGCGCGCTTGTCACGAAATCGAAGACAGATGTAGGATAAAACGCGCGGTAAAAGTTTAGCTAACTGAATTGGATGGCACTTGCAAAGAGCTGCAATGAGGAGTACGAGCATACGTCCGGTGGACGAACGACTGGGTTTCTTGAAAGAAACTTGTCAGTGTCTGACATGCCATTTCAAAAAGCCCACACACGACAGACCTTGATCTTCTCAATCAGCAGGAAGATTTCCTTTACAAATAATGGATCTAGTCCTGGCAAAGACTCACTGGATTGAATTCAATGTAAGGTGAGAAATCTGCTGAGTCTAAAAACAAGATCTGCAAATAGTCATACAGGAGCGTTGCAAATGCTTGACGCTGCGTATCGCGATCTTCTAAGCGACCAATTAGGGTGCTGAATTTAAAAATTTCTTGTGTGCGTCGATCCTTCGCTTTTTGATCGTGCTTTTTCTTCGTTGTCAGACCTTTGGGACTGAAACTTGCTTTTGGCAATCGAAGAACCATAGCGTGGCCTGCAGCACGTCGTTGAAAATTTGTTTCCATCATTGAGAATTTTTTGAATTCAAAGTTTCTTTTCGAAAACGGTATAGCGATAAAAGCTATTCTTATAATAGACGTTTCTTAAATTAAAAATCGTGTAAGCACACAATACATGCATATCCTACTCATAGTAGGCACTAATCTGAGAGAGCGTGTCCATTTCTGAAAGTTCATCTGTACAGATAGTGGAAAAATCGCTGCGCTGAGACCACCACAGTGGCGAGTTCATGTCATGGTTGCTCCATTCATCCAAAAAATCGACTTTATCACCCCACGAGTTTTCTTTCATGCTGACATTGAAGCCAGCAACCTCTTGATAATAAGAAGCATCCCTTAACTCGATTGTTTTGTTGAGCTGGTGGCTTGGCGCGATGGTGACCTCACACGACTGCACCCTGGAGTCGGCAAGGCTTAGTCGAACCTCCAGCGGTTTAAGCTCTGAACTGTAGGCAATATTTGGCATCGCAAGGTATTTTTCTGCGGGGATGATCTGATCAATTTCGTTCGAATTTCCGCGAAGAAAGTATTGATGACGATAAACAGTGTAACTTTCATGATCCTCCTCTGCGTAATCAAAGTTAAGCGCTTCTAGCACCTGGTGAAGCGAGCACACTCGAAGCCCAAGAAGCTGTGCCAGCTTAATCTCTTTTTTCTGCTGAACGATAAAATGCAAGCCGTCTTCGAGCCACATTAGTGCATCTGTCTCCAATTCGTTGTCCAGGAGAATGTGTAGCTTCATTAAAAGACACCTATAACTCCATCTATCTCCAACAGCAGCGCGATCTGTTTGAAAGCAACGTTAGATCGTAATGTGTGTCAATCAACTCTCATCCGACCATCTCGTAGAAGCCTCATGTACTTCACGTGCTGTCTTTCGGCGCTGTCACTATCATCTTGTGGATTCATAATGCGTTGATTATGTTACCATGAGCATCAATTGACCTTTAAACAACGCACCACATGTATCACGTGCTCGACGCCCCATGGTTAGTTGATCTCGAGAATGCGCACTTCAATTTCGATGTGATTGAATTAAAAAAACTACCGCATTACTATAAAAATAATGACAACGTGTTGGTAACTTGCGTTACAAAAAGTATAAGAAAAAAATGGAAACCACGCTTGAAGAGGATAAAAGCGACTATGGACTTCATGCAGCACTTGAGACTGGACTCTTCGTGTTTACTTCATAACTAAAATGATTCCACAACCTGGAGCATGCTTAGACCCACGCAACAGAAGAAGGTCCTAACGCGAAAGTGCACAGTTGAATTGCAATTATCGGACTTCTGTCTTTCAACGGTAGTAATGTAACTTGCTCTTGACCGTACATTCATTCTTATTGTACCTCAAGGTCAATTATATCGATAGCACCAGCGACTTACTTGCGCCTCTTCTGTCCATGTCCATACGTATAGATAGAGTCTGCTTCACTGTAATTATCTTCCACTTCCCGTTTGTTGATATTTTGCAATTTAAGTTGGTCGTTCGCGCTTATATTCTCACCGATGTTTTTAGAGCCTTTTAAAATGTTGTCGAGTTTTGCTTTCGCTTCTATAGCTTGTGCTGACATCAAATATCAAATAAGTAAGAACGAAGTATAAGCAAAACAATGCTATTAATTTCTCACCCAGAGACACACGTGCAACCGATGAAGCAACAGGCCGTATCCACGTCGTTTCATTCGTCTTCTGATTCCAGTAGTAAATATCTCCGCTGGTTACATCAGGCAAAGCTTCCCATCCACTGACAGATAAACACAAGCTTAACAATGTACTTCTGTTACAGAAATCGGTATGCACTTACTCGGCCAATTCCTTTGTTTGTACTTCTGAGTTTCCGGGTTGCTCCCACAACGTCTCGTTAGTTCTCTACAGCCACAGCTCTTTATTCGTTATGATTGACTATTGCACCAATTCAGATATTTCGACCTACCTCATTCCAATGATACAAATTTCCTGAAGCCAAATTTTCAACCTTCTCCCACTCCATAGGCGGCGTACTGTATTGATTTTCTGGGGCCTTAACCTCTAAATGGTAAACCTCCGTTCTTTGATCAACGTGCTGCGTCTGTTGCAAATCTCGAGCACGTCTCAATGCCAACACATGCAGCGTATTGTCTCTAAGTCGGGGATCGAATTTGTCGGTAGCTGACGGCTCCTGAGATTGCGCGCCCAGCACGCGACGCTGAGCTAAGCAAGACCTAGTATTTGCGGTCTGCTTTTGTCGGAGCTGCTGCTGCTTCAGCAGTTCACGCTGACTGGGACCACTTCCAGTAATGGCAAGATGTTTTAAAGCTTCAGCGCGAGCTTTTTGTGCAGCTAACTCCCTCTGGCGACGCTCTGCTGCCTTGGGCGCCATCTCTGGTTAAAATACCGGTTTCGAAATCTTAAGCATCGAGTTTAATATGAGATTCGACAATGTCCGGCGACAATGAGAAGTCATGAACCTGAAAATAGAGCTACTTAGATGAAAATACTCTGCGCAATGACTCAAGTTAGTTATAATTATTTTGCGGTTGTGTCTGCTCCACCGTCGCTTGTTGTTTATTCTTCGACACAAAACCGGACATGAATTCAGCAACCGGTGCAATGCTTAGAAGGTAAATCAATATGCGCAACCTAGCAAATCCTATATAATGCCAGCATATAGTGACACATGACATGCTTATGTAGTCCAGAACGTTCCGCAAATGATGATTTGTGTCCAGGGCAGGATGGCAGTCAGCGTCATGAAATTCGTCCGTCATCATTACCCGCACCGCTTACTGGTGCTGAGGTAGGGACAAATCAAGTTGGGAAGGACGACACGTCAAGGATGATTAAACATTTGTCTGTGTCGCAGGCTACTCAGGCATTGCTCAAGGCGAAAATTCGGGAAATTCAATCTAGTCCAGTGTTAACGCCAAAACAAAAAGCCGAGTCGGTGCAAAATCTCATGATGAAGGATTATAATGATGCAAAATTAAGGGCATACGCAGTCAAATTGGAAGGCGATTCGGAAGTTGAGCGAAAACAATCCTCTTACTACGTAAGCATAAGTCGAATAAAAGATCCGGCAGCAAAATTAACGAAAGTCTTTGTTTAAAGGATGAAGCCAAAACAATTTTAGGGTGCAGTCACTATCAGTAAGTAGTGCGTATATATAAGCGTTAAAGCTTGCGAGTAATGTTCACATGTCATTGTTCATGGCAGACGGAAATGTAAATTGCAGGGGAAATGCTGCGGGAAATGGTATTTGTGTCGCTTTTGTCATGGTAAGTCACGCGGCACATCGACAGGAACTATCAAAATGATAAATTTGTGTCGAATAATACAGACGATAATGAGGATCACGCTTTTGATCGCTACGCTGTTGACTCAGTATCTTGCATGCAA